GTGTAATTCCAGCTACTCGGAAGGCTGAGGCGGAAGGATCGCCGGGGCCCAGCAGGTCGAGGCTACGGTGGCTAGAAGCGGCCACTGCACTCAAGTCTGGGTGACAGAGTGAGTCTCCAACTCAAAAAAAATAAAAAATAAAAATAGAAATACTAAGAGTCACAACCCTGATGGGAGGAGGAAAGAGGGGTTGAGGAAAAAGTGGGATGAGGACATTCTGTGTTTTTATACGATTTTAACAAGCACTATATTATTTTGATAAAACACATACAGAGAAAGAGAGAGAACCACAGAGGGTGCCAAAAAAGTATACAGTTTAAGAAAGGAAAAAACTGTATTAAAATTGTAACTGAAAGGAAAAAACTGTATTAAAATTGTAATACTCGCTGGGTGCGGTGGCTCAAGCCTGTAATCCCAGCACTTTGGGAGGCTGGGGCGACAGAACTGCCTGAGCCCAGGGGTTCAAGACCAGTCTGAGAAACTTGGCGAAACCCCGTCTCTACAATAAACTTTTTAAAAAATTAGCTGGGCAAGGTGGCGTGCACCTGTAGTTCCAGCTACTTGGAAGGCTGAAGCAGAAGGATTGCCTGAGCTCAGCAGGCCGAGGCTGCGGTGACCATGAGCATGCCACTGCACTCCAGCCTGGGCGACAGAGTGAGACTCCTACTCAAAAAACAAAAAATATATTGCAATACTCTGAGAACAAAAGATGAATACAAGTCACATCAGATTTCTGCAATTACAAGAGATGCTCAGAGTGGTTCCCACCAGCGTGAGGACACTTCTGATTACAGCGAACATCTCTTAACATCTTTTAAGATGTGTATAATTTTTTTTACGCCCCTGGTATATTACCAAAGGAAGAAATCAGACTTAGCCCATAACTAAAATCCTGCTGGTCTCACTCTGTGGCCCAAGGTGGAGTGCAATGACACGATCACGGTTCACCACAGCCTCAGCCTCCTTAGCTCAGGCAATTCTCTGGTCTCAGCCTCTTGAGCAGCTGGGGCTATAGGTGCATCCCACCACACCCAGCTAATTTTTTTGTTTTGCAAAGATGAGGTCTCACTATGTTGCCCAGGCTGGTCTCAAACTCCTGGCTCAAGCGATCCTCCTATTTCAATCTCCCAAAGTGCTGGGATTACAGGCTGGAGCCACTGCGCCCAGCCAAAATCCTGCTTTTATGTATAACACATACAGACACTGTAATAGGAATGCTCTCATTAGGGTTAAACAGCTCTGAATTGCTTCTAGAGACATTCTCTCTATATTTTCTTTTTGGCATTAGCTTAATTTACATGTCCAAATGTGCTAGGTGTGGTGGCTGACGCCTGCAATCTCAGTACTTTGGAAGGCTGAGGCAGGAGAATTGCCCGAGTTCAGGAATTCGAGGACAGACTAGGCAACTCAGTGAGACCTCATCTCTATAAAAAAATCAGTTGGGCATTGTGGTACATGCCTGTAGCTCCAGCTACTTGGAAGGCTGAGGCGGAAGGATCGCCTGAGCCCAGCAGGTCGAGGCTGCGGTGGCTGTGAGTGTGCTGCTGCACTCCAGCCTGGGCACCGGAACAAGGCTTCAACAAAAAGACTAGGAACCTTGCTTCCCCTTTCTTTGCCTTCGCTGTGTATCATTCAGGGCTTTGGCCCCTTTGGGTTGCCATAGTTTTGGGGCTTCCTCTCTTTTCCTTTGCGTGTCGCCTGACCTTGCTGAACCTATTTCTTCATCTGTTAGATGAGAATAATGACCATCTCCCCCTGTTGCTGTGAAACTCCACAAAGATCAATGTCAGGGAAACTGCAAGGCACTTGGCGAAAAAACGGCATCCGAAGAAGAAATTCATCTCGGCTGGGTTCGGTGGCTCAGCCTGTAATCCCGCGCCTTTGGGAGGTTGAGGTGAGTGGATTGCCTGAGCCCGCGAGTTC